TGTATCATATTTTCAAAGGGTTAACTGTATCTTTAGAAAAATGCAAAATTTCTACCCATCAAGACATTGATTCTTTTGAAATCGCCATGTTGTGTGTTGAGAAATTAAGTGTGGGGTAAGCCCAACATGTGAGGCATCTTTTCATTGCACTAAATTTTATTTTTGGAAGAGATACAAGTTGAGCTTTAGTGGGAAAGTCCTACAAGGTGGTGCTAGTTCCTCTCTAATACAAGTAAAATTTCCACCTATTGAATTGATTGCCAACTTGAGGGTGTGTTCTTAAGGGCACAAATACGGCTTCTAACACCCCTTACGTTTACTGACCCTCCGCACGAGTTGAGGTATAGTAGTTTTAAGCTTTTACTCGACAAATAAGGTTAATATCCAACAAAAGAGCTCTCTGCCGTGAGAAAAATCATAAAAAAAAATAGTTATTTGAAAGAGAAGAAAATTCAGACATTATAAAGAGAGTTTGAATTCGAATAAAGGCAAAGTGCTTTAAAGATTTGTCAAGTTGATGGTAGAAAGCATTCAAAGCTTATAATTTTATCAAAAGCTTCACACCTACGTTTTGAGACTCTGATGCATGATTAGTAATTAATGTTTGGATTATATGGCATGATGTTCATGCGTACTAATGTGGTTAGGACACTATCGTGCAAATATTGACCTTGTAAGTGGCGGGTTGAGTTGTAACACACTATACAGTGGTCGAACTCCTAGTGGTCGGTTTGCAGCACACATCGCATGATCGTCCTCCCTCACTTATCAGGGTGGTCATGAACAACAATGATCCAAGCTTCTTAAGTAACCTCCCAACTCTTATGATGTGTGTTGAGTTAACATCTCCAAAGTTTAACTAGCAACGACTTATAATATCTAATTATCATAATTTTAAGTAGGGGGATAAATGGTTATGTCGTTAACGGTTTAACCGATAATCGCACCCCTAATTGAGGTTAATGATTAAAACTTTAACTGATAAGAAGAATGTGAGTCATTTAGCGAAAGCTCAAAATCCCTTATTGGGTTATCAAGTCATGGACAATTAATAACTAATGGTAAGCGATTAACCTAATAACCGATAAGGGTTTTTAACCTCTCAAAATAGGCAAAACGTCACACTCAACGAAGGAAACAACTTCATCCCTTACCACTCTACACTCACTGAATCCAATCTCCTCGTCTTCTCAGCTCAAATGAAGGACGGTCGAATAGGTTGTGCCACGAACCATGAATCGAAGGTCGTCATGCTAACCACCCTCCATGGTAGCTTCCCCATTAGATTGAAGAGGATAATAGAGAGAGAAGCAACAATCAATGCAGTCAAAATCGGGATTTTGATCATAAAATCGTAGGATTTTAGGATTTTACTTAGGGATTCCGATCCCGATTTTACTATAAAATCAGTGGACCTTAAAATTGTTCAAAATCGGGATTAAAATCGTTAAAATCGTACCAAAATCGGGATTTTGATCCTATGTGAACAAAATAGGGAGCTTGAGCCAATTCAAAAGAAGCAGAATTGTTTCGGTGAAAAGGCAATGACGCGAATCTTCTCATATATTGTTCCTATTAAAAGAACATTTGAAAAGAAGAAAAAAAAACTAATTAGGGTTCGGTCAACCCCTTTCCCTTCTCTTTGTTTAACTCATCGGTAAAATAATTGTCAGAATATTGTAAGTGCGTAAGAATTAACATCATTATTAATAAATTATTTGATTAATGAATATATTTGTACCAAACCAATGACATTAATTATTTTATTGGATTTCAGTTATTCTTAGTTTTAAATCATGCTTAGTAGACAACGTCGGGATACTACTTTGAGTTAACTACCTAGACACAACATGAAAAACAAGAGCCAAACCCCATGAGCTCTATCCCTTCCTCATAAATTATTTTTAGTTACGCATTAAATAACAATTAAAATGATGATTTTGGAACATTAATCTTGAAAATTATCACTTTAAATGTTATAAGTCTTTGTGTTGTTAATTATTTACCTTATTAATATTATTATATGTTAATTTCTATATGGTACTTAGAATCCTATGATTCTACGATTCGATTTTACGATTCGGATTTTATCCCAGTTTTCGATTTTAGGTAAAATCCCGATTTTAACTGCTTTGGCAACAATGGTTGGCCTCGATGTTGCCGCCGCCGTGAGCCTCTTCTCTTGTTTTACTTAGACAGAGAAGAGAAGAGGTGGTTGTTGCGGTTCGAATGTTCGAGAGTGAAGGAGACTAAGGATTGTGTTGTCTTTTGTAGTTGGTTCACAGAGGTAGTTGATTCATTCTTTTTATATGCAGAGGAAAAAAAAAAGAGAAGACAAGAGTGAAGAGAAGAAGGGAGTGCGCGGGTAGGGTTTCTCCTTCCATTACTTTACTTTTATAAATTCTTTCAAAAGACAATTGTGCCCCTTGCCCCTTGCCTCTTGCTCCAAACCTACCATCATTCTCTCATTCAAGCTAGGTTGTCAAACCAGTTTAATTTATTGAGTCGGTCAAGCAAGTGGGTAGAGGTTCAATAGTTTGATAGGGGTCTAACCTATTTGAATTGTTTTATACATTTTCTTAATGATATACAAATAAAGTAGTAATTTAAAATTTTAATAACTAAAATAAAATTTACTTTGCATGTAGCTACTAGAAACTCGCATCTCATAAAAAACTATACACACTCCATGACCCAAACAACATCCTCCTTTCCTCTCTCCCCCTCCACCTGAGCACTTCTACTATGATATATAGTATTGGTGCTTTAATGTACAACTTGAAGTTGTACCATAACATTAAATGTATAAGTTTAGGTTGTATCATTAAGAAATCTGTATCATTATGTTATGGTACAACTTTAAAACTTGAAGTTGTACCATCACATAAAGGTACAAGTACAAGTTGTACCATAAAAGAATTTGTGCAAAAAGTATAGGTACAATCTGAAGTTGTACCATAACGTTAAAGGTACAATTTCAAGTTATACCATAAAGGCAAAAACCTATAGCACTCATACTATATAGCATTGTAAAATTCCTCCCCTCCACCAACATTCTCCCTCTCTAGTGTGCAGACCATGGACTTTCTTGAGACCGTTTGGAGCCCAAAAGTGATTGAAATGGGTCCTACCGGCAGACCAGTAGAGGTTTAACAACCTTGCTCTCAGGGGGTAGGCGGTTAACAGCTAAAATAATCGCTAACCACATCGATGGTTAATTGTTAACTGCTAAGCCTTGATGGGTCAACTAATGTAATATTTTTTTGGGTAAACACTAATTATCTGTCAAATCTTTCCTGCATTCTCTTTAACAATACCACAAATCAATTCTGACAGGTCATACTACGAATGCGAAATCGCCTCTTTAACGAAGCACAAAAATAAGTCTTCGACAAGAGCATTGGTGAACATAGAATTTTGAAGAATATTCAAAGAGCGAGTGTTCAACGCCAGTGAAATCTACCACATGGGGGGCAATTGTTGGGGGAAACTAGGGGTACATGGCCCCATCCATAGTGCTCGTTAGAGATTAAAAAAACAGTAATAACAAGTTAGAGATGAGTCAAGACTCATCACCATCTTGGGGGGGGGGGGGGGGAATTATTGGGAATGTTACTAAACCCAACCTACAGAGACGAAGTATTAGCGCACCTGCATGGTGGTGTACTAGCATGGTGAGCTCAACCTTGACACAAATTGAGACTAAGTAGTAACGAACTAGCATTGTGGTGTGCTAGCGGTGACACCCAAGCTAAAATGAGACTAAGTAGTAGTGCATCAGCATTGTGGTGCACTAGATTGTGGTGCACTACCGGTAACTCCCAACCTGTCGCGCAATCTTCCGCACAACTAGTGCCCGCCACATCTATATAAGGCCTTCCAAGCCTCCAAATAGTGGACTCAACTTCTCCACCTTCATTTCACACATTGGTTCTCTCTCTACACTTTCTCTCTCTAAATACTCTCCCATATATATCTCTTTACACTAGATACTGACTTGATCGTCAGAGGTTAATCAGCGGGACAACCCCATCTTTTCACAGATCCCTTCCCTCCCGACAAGATCTGACGAATGGATCGTGAGTCAACCCCACACCAACAAATGATTATTGTTCGTATCTGAAGCTAGATGATACAAACAATTAGTAATTATGACTTGACAATATGATACTGACTCAGAAGAGATACATAGAGGTCAACATTCCAAAACTTTAGTATTTTAGCTAAGAAAATAGTTACAAAATTATTAACAATAACAGAAAATTAACTAATATTTTGATATATTACAAAAGATTTGGCTAGTTATTAGTAATTCAATTGGTTTGGCTAATAAAAAAGAACGCGAAAAGAGTTTGGCTAATTATTAGTAATTCAATAGGTTTGCCTAATAAAAAAGAATGCGAAAAAGATTTAACTAGTAATTAGTGTTTATCCTTTTTTATAAGGTGAAATAAAATTACTTTTTTTATTGGGTACTAAATATTAGTAATTTTTATTGCTTTTTTCTTGAGACGTTGAGATTCATTGCAAGTGGTATTATCACTAGATCAAACTCTTATTTGTTGTAATAAATTTTTGTTTGACGAATAATTGCTAATCACTTTATCATCAACCCCTATAACTTGTAATTACTAATTAGTCTGTAAAATTGGAAGTTGCATTTTGTGAAAAGGAATATTTCAACTTCCAAGTTATATGTTGTAAATTGAAAATTATAACATCCATCAGATCTAAAATTTCAACCTAGCAGCCAATCATTACAATACACAAGAGAAAACTATCCTTCTTCATTAATATATGGATTAGCACCGAGCAATCACCACTTTGATTCCTTCAACCCCCTCTTCTTCTTCTTCTCCGATGAATATTACAACTATCGCGCATTCGAACAGCTGCTTCCCTATTCTTCAGAACATAGCATAAAAACAGAGCTTCTTCCCCGTGATCTAGGGTTTTCCGTTCGTTGCTTTGTCGTTACATTGACAACGGCAGGAAGCGCGATGCCGGATATGGAAGGGGCGGTGTCAATGAGTGACGTGGCGGCTTTTCAACCGGAGGCCCTCCAGCTCCCGGAGTTGTCACCATTGGCCTTGAAGGCTAATCCTTTCCTCGCCGAGCAACTCTTCTCCCAATGGCTTTCCCTTCCTGATACTTCTCGATTGGTAAGCGAAACCCTAGTTGCGTTTCCGTCTTCATTGCTCATCAACATTTGCTGAATTCGGGGATCTGCTCTGGATTTGATTCTGATTGCCGGCCCTCTTCGTTTTGTATCTTGCTTTCCCTAAACTTTAGATAAGGACTTTGGAATTCTAGATCATCACTTAGATTCGGAAATCTGGAGAATAATTCTTGTCATGTCTATACCAATGAAATTCATAGGATACTTATCTCTTCCAATTCACGCAAAATTGATAATTTGTCTCTACTTCTCCTGAATCCTGATTGCCAACATCGCCACATTTCCTCTTTACCATGCTGGTATTCAGGACCGTTGTTTTGTTCTGTTCCTCGCCTTAATTTGTCTGGGATTTATATTTACGGATGTAGGTCAAGTCCTTACTTTCTGCGGCTAAGACTGGGGAGCCATTGAATGCGATTGGCAATACAAGTAGTACCAATGCTGGTTCTGGCAGCCCAATACCGTCCATGTTTCCTTCTGGCTGCACTCCCCCACTTTCGCCTCGTAGCATCTCGGGCTCACCACGTACTGTGAAACAGAGAGCTGGTCCTTCCTCTTTAAGCTCTCCACTGAAAGTCATCAGTGAGCCAGTGCGAGAAGTCATCCCTCAGGTTTGAGTTTTTCTTCAAATGTAGCTGTTATGACATGGCCAATGATGTATCAGATGCACGGAAGATTCTGACTTCATATTGTTGGCAGTTTTACTTTAAAAATGGCCGGCTGCCCCCAGATGAGACGAGAGAGCGTTGCTTGTTTGATGTTGATCAACATTTTTACGATCACATGGATGGATTGCAACAACATGGTTAGGGGACTGCCCTTTGGTTCAAGTTTTGCACTTTTCTTTCTCAACGTTTTACTTAATTGTTTACCTTTGTTAAACCTTGCCTAATATTGATGGTTTTCTTTTTGTTTATGTCTGTCTTCTTCTGTGCTAGAGTTTAAGACTGTTGCAAAGGATATCTGCAAGCTCCCGTCTTTTTTCTCAACCATATTGTTTAGAAGAATTGATGTCAATAGTGTTGGTATTATCACAAGGTATCTTACTGATACAAGCCTGACTTGCCTGTGTTTGCTCGTCATATTTTTTGAGATAAACTGCCTCATGTAGAAAGAATTCGTGGTTTTGCTATCTACTTATCGGTCCGAAGAAACAATATATGTTCCTGGAACCGTCTTCCTTGTACTTTTGACTGTGAAAATCTTCTTGGTAAATTTACTGTTGAAATATATTTTCTCCCCTCTGATCTGCTTCCATCTGAGAAATGCCTCCCAGATTCATTTGCGCTCCCTTTTGCTTTGTAATGCTGTAATTGAAATCACAGTTTTAAGAACGCAAATAGTACTGAATTTTTCTCTTCCTAGGCTGATGTTCCCTTGTTGAGCTATAGTAGAAGTTGCTTGTTTAAAAAATCCAAAAATGTTGCTTTCTTTGCTTTTCTTTTTTAGTTTTTTTCATAGATTAATTAACCTATCTGTAGCTATATAATAATATATTCCGAAATCCCAATTGTACTGTACTTTTTGGTGCCACAGGTTGGTTAACATTCTTAGACTATGAATGCCGAGTTTTGGGATCCCAATTAGGCTGATATTACGGTGTTGCATGTGAATTGTATGAAACATGCTTTAGCTTTCTATTAGCTTCTGTTTATCAGTGTCCTCGACATTTAATGTTGCTGTTATCCATAGCTTTTTCTGTTTTAAATTTTTTTTTTGCTTTATTTTTGTGTCACAAAATACAGGGATCAATTTATTGACTATTGGGTTAAAGGAAACTTCTTGACGATGGACTTAGCAACTCAAATCTACACCATTCTCAAGCAACCAGATCGTGGATACCTTACTCAGGTAAACTGTGAAGCCTTGCCTTTTGTTCTTCAATTTTGCAATTCCTTCTTATCATTTGCTTTGGGTTGTTTATTGAATTTTTGGTGAAAACTGAATGTTTGTTCCTGGATTATTAGTTACAGTGGTTCTATTTATGCCTTGTGTGCAGGAGGATTTCAGACCTATTTTACGAGAAATTTTGGCTACTCATCCGGGGTTGGAATTTTTGCAGAGTACTCCAGAATTTCAAGAGAGATATGGTAGTTTATTTTTTCTTTCATTTCCTTCGTGTAAATGCATAGATCCCATATATGCGAGTGTCTTATGTTCTGTTGCGTTTTCTCATACAGTATTGCCTCCCTTTTTCCCTGTAGGATTTTTATGGTGTTTGGAAATCTGTTAATCTGGTCTTTCTGTTTTCCTATTCAGGCTAATTTTGTTATTCTTCTGTTTGTCTTCCTTTTAAGATTTGGAGGCGATAACTTCGGCAGATAGGAAGTTTTTTTTCTGTGTTACTTCCGAAAGTAGTATGAGGCCTTTATAAATACAATTGTAGTATGCAGCTTAAGATGGGTCTTGCTTTTAGTCTCTTATTTTATGATCGTGTCTTAGTTTATACTTGTAGGACATTATGTTTAGTAAGGCCCTTTTCTGACTTAAAGTGCAATTGAACAGCTGAAACGGTCATATACAGAATATTTCACTATGTAAATAGATCAGGAACTGGTCGTCTCACCCTCAAGGAGCTGAAGCGTTCAAACTTGGTGGCTGCGATGCATCAAGTGGACGAGGAAGAAGATATTAACAAAGTTTTAAGGTATGCCTGTAGCTGAAGATTTGAGTGATTATATAACCATAGTAGTTTGTATGGAACTGGGAGATGTAAGGGAGGCTAAGTCAGACGAGAATATGAAATTGGTGTCTTTTTGTCTTTGTCCCTTCAGTTTACTTTTTGTTTTTGCTAATTCTTAGTATCGAGTGGTGTCCGAACTCAGAGCTTTCACAATCCTTTCTCAGTTATTAGCATCATCAAATGTCAGTCTATACGGTGATTGTCAGCTCAATGTTATGCTATGTCACTTCCCAAAGTATTTATGTTTTTTGTTTGGATCTGCAAGGTACTTCTCTTATGAGCACTTCTATGTGATATACTGCAAATTCTGGGAGCTCGACACAGATCATGATTTCTTAATTGACAAAGAGAACCTTATTCGATATGGCAACCATGCTCTTACATACAGAATTGTTGATAGAGTATTTTCTCAGGTGGGTGTGTTTTACTATTATTACAAGGCTGAGTTCTTACAAAAAAATTCACCACCCAGTGTCAGAACTTCTTCTGTGTCTCTAATATCAGACTCTCTTGTTTAGGTCGCCCGGAAATTTAGAAGCAAAGTTGAAGGCAAGATGGGTTATGAAGATTTTGTCTACTTCATACTCTCTGAGGAGGATAAGTCTTCTGAACCTGGCATCGAGTTCTGGTAATTTAGTTGCTAGTTTTGGAATCACATATTGAGTTTGTAATTGCAAATTGAGAGGTGGTAATCATGTCAAGAACATTTTTGATTTAGCACTGATATGTTCTTTTCTTGGAGTGCAAAACAAAAACCGGTTGGTTTTTGTGGAGCAAGATTGATATTTTCTGGATCTGTCTTATGTATACTTCTGTTTGGTGAGGTTATCATATCTACGATTAAACAACCGAATGCCAACAGCGAAAAGTAGCAGAATGAACCGCAGCAACAAATTTCTTGTCATTTTTCATCGTAACCAGTCTTTCATCTTGATGTCTTCATTTGGGGTAGATTAAGTGCTACAGGCTGTACTTCAGGGTATTAGGGTAATTATTTGAGTTTTCAACTAGTTTGATTTGCTACATTATTTTGGCGCAGGTTTAATTGCATTGATCTGGATGGGAATGGCGTCCTCACTTCCAACGAAATGCAGTTCTTCTATGAAGAACAATTGCATCGAATGGAGTGCATGGCACAAGAACCAGTCCCGTTTGAAGACATATTGTGCCAGATTATTGATATGATTGGTCCAGAGGTAACTTCCTGATCTATTCTGCTTATCCTTTTGCACTTTTGGACCTCTGTCATATTCATATCTGATAATGCAGACCGAGGGTCTTGTCACATTGCGTGACATGAAACGGACCAAACTTGCTGGGCACGTGTTCAACATTCTTTTCAATCTCAATAAGTTCATCGCCTTTGAAAGCCGGGACCCTTTCCTAATTCGTCAGGCAAGTGGAAGATGTTTTGTTACTAGGATTTCAAATCATGGCAGTTTCTGGCTCAAGCTGGTGACTTGATGACGGCTTATAATTAGATATAAATGTTTGTTTCAGGAACGAGAGAATCCGACTTTGACAGAGTGGGATCGTTTTGCACATAGAGAGTATATAAGGCTTTCAATGGAAGACGATGCAGAAGATGTGTCAAATGGAAGTGGAGATGTATGGGATGAATCCCTTGAGGCTCCCTTTTGAAACCCCCGATAGGTATTTATTCTCTCATGGCCTTTCTTTCCCGACAGAAGCCAACATTTTAGTTTCAGGTGGCTTGTTTCTATCTTAAAAAGGGTGTGTTCGTTTCAAAAATGTACCGTTCGCTGTATTTTTATGTCCAAGTGCCGCTTTTCCTCAACAGTAATGCAGTATTCACTACAGGTTTGGGCCATGGATCGCTGTTTGCAGGGAGGAAGATTTTGTATTATTGCTCACCGCCTTCCCACATATGCTGATAGTTAAATTGATGCTGATCAATACATGTATAATTTTATACATGTAATTAAGAAAATACACTGTTTACATTGTTTTTTTTTAATTTATTTATGGTTATTGTAGTATTATATAAGTTATATAATTTTGGTGAAATATCACTTAGTCTTTGTTTTTAATATAGAAAAGCATAACAAGTACAATTTTTGAATATAGTTGGGGGAAAAGAGCCAGCAATCTAACCTAAACTATCTTGAAATCTCGTTTTGAGTGATAGTTTGATGGAATAGAAGGTGCGTTGCATGCATCTGTGAACTATTTAATTACCAAAGAGTTCATACAAACAGACCCATCCGTAGGGTTCACAAAACAGAGGATTACCAAGCATGACAAAATGCAGAAATAGAGGAAAGATAAAACAGAATCAACACAAACAGTTAATCATTTAATCTAATCCACCCAGGTAAGAGCTTATTTATATGCAATCTAGGTGATCCACTCTCTCTTTTCTTATTAACCTTGTCATGGACCACCTCTCCTGCATACTACAAGAAGCAAGGAATGTCGGGCTCGTCTTAGGATCTACACATAATATAATACACCGAAGGGAAAAACGGGAGCCCCATTTCAAATTTCCTGCAACGAGAGTGAAAGTAGGAAGGACATTTTGGTCTTCCAATTACTTTTTTTTATTCATTAAAAAGACACGTACTAGGATTCGAACCATGTCCATTTTAAAGAAAAGCAAGGAACATAACCAATCACACTAAGTACATTTGTTGTATCCTTTTAAATCAAAAACATATAATAGCAGGGAGGAAAAACCCCTTCCCCCCATTTCAAATTCCCTGCTCCATGAGCGTTTGTAGGAAGGGTAGAATAGGTAGTGTTAATTTTTTTCTCTTTCCTCTGTGGAACGGGCCAACTTACCGTACACATGCCGATTTAAACGGGTTCAGGAGTGTCAATTTTTTTCTTTAAGCCCTTGTATTTCTCCGTGGTGATAAAATATATATGAAAAGGCAAAAACAATACTTTTTTTTATGCTAAAAATAAAAAAAATTTAACAATAAACTAATGCATGGTATCTAAAGGGCTAACCGCTAACCATAAAATAAAAGAGTTAAATGGGCCTGACCTACACCGGATTTGGCCATCAAGTAAAACAAATGAACATCATTGGTTTGACATTCTAAAACAAGCTATTTTCTCTAGCATAATATATATTATTATATTATTTTATATTTTAGTGGCTAAAATATAATGTAGTTTAAAGTTATTCAATGGTTCAATCTCGACCAACCCAATTAGTCCAATTTTTATCATTTCAAATATATATTATATAATTATTTGATATCATAATGATAAAATTATAGTGTATTTTATAGGGAATCGTTTGGTATTTGTTAGTAAAAAACTAAACAGAAAGATCTATTTGGTTATTTTAAACATTAAAACGATCCTAAACATTTTCAGTTTCTTTTGAATTTCTATGGTTTTATTCCCGAATAAGTGATGTGCAAATGGCGAATTGCAGTCATCTATTTTCTTTCACTATTTTTTATTTTCAAATAGAAAATTTAAAAGTAACGAATAATTAGAATTTTGCATGGTTCTGTCAAACAGGCTGAATTTTAAGTTTTGGCCCGTTTTGATCAAGTCTAATTTATAATCACATGGTTCCCTGATACCCGATAAAAATCTCAATCCAAACCAGTTTGGCAGGTGAGTCCGTGTTTACCACCATTCTCTAGGAATACGACAACGGCGGTTCCTATCCCAAATCGTGTTGTTCGTTCTTGATTTCCTTAGATTTTATCATGGCCTGACAAAAACCAGAAAGCACAATGACGACAAGATGAAAGTTTTATAAATCAAATTAATGGTGTTCTCTTTCTGATCTCATGTAATTATATAATGAAGTTGAAGTTTTTCGATGCTATTCAATTTCATTGGTATGTTTTTAATGGTCTAACTTCATGGTTGTACCAACTTTTGATGTACTGTTTATGTTCCAATATATTCACTTTGGTATGATTATTAGGGATATGCTAGGCGGTACTCACCATTAGACCAATTTAGCTTAATGGTTGAATCTACGGGTTATCCCAATAATTCAATATTCGGCTCAGCTCCTCCAACCAACGGGTCGGGTTACAAGCTAGTATTGTATTGATGAAAGGAATCAACGAGGCAAGGTGACACATCTCCTCTATGCAGATGACACAATCATTTCTTGTGACATCACGGGAGAGTTAGGTTTGTGGAGAAAGAGAAACGGAAAGTCATATATGGTGTAACACGTTAGGCGAATCTCACATCAACAAAGTATCGGAGAGATCCATGATTCATAAGTAAGAAACTGAATTAACTGAAAAGACACATTTTGTAGTGAAATTGAGAAGTTCTTGTAAGAACTCTGAAGTTAAACATGTTCGCTGTGGAGCACTACAAGGATGAGTGGTATTGTAGGAAGTCACTTTGATATGCACGCCAAGGCAAAATCGGTTAGCATCAAGGGCCCGAAGTAGACAAGATCTTGGTCGGGAAAAGATTTTGGTGTTACAAATGGTATGAAAGCCTCTCTGCATCTCTCTTGGACGATGGTAGGGCAAACCTCAACGAGGACGTTGAGTCCCAAAGGGGAGCTATATGTAACACCTTAGGGGAATTTCACATCAACAAAGCACGAGAGATATTCATGGTTCATAAGTAAAAACCGACCTTAACTATAAGAGGCATTTTTGGGTGAAATGGAATTTTGGTAAGAACTCTAACGTAAACGTGCTCACTGTGGAACAATACAAGGATGAGTGACCTTATAGTAAGTCACCTTGATATGCACCCCATGAAAAAAAATTCGTGAAGGTCTGGACCAAAGTGAACAATATCTAGGTTGGCAAAAGGTTCGGTGTGTTACATATGAAAAAGGTTGGTAATAACTTGCAGTAAGTTGTTTTTTCCAAAACTATCTTTGACATAATCCCGATCGTCAATAAAAAAATAAAAAAAAGAGAAATGGGCAATGAAAAATTAGATTGCCAAGATAAAAAAAATTTGCACCTTAACTTATTTCGGTTAAGCCGTAATCAAGTTATAAAGTTGTTTAATGTCCATCCCACCCTTTTCTTTTTTTTTTTTGGCAAAATACACATGGATTGCCATAACTTTGTAGTTTTTAACAATAATAGCCAACTTTTGAAAAATACACAAATATAATCATTCTGTCAATAACTTTAATGTTATTGTCATAAATGCTAACTGCACTAACATTTTCTAATGACGTGACATTTTTTCATTAATTCTCCTACCTCGATTTTTTGTCCATTTATTTAATTAAGCTAAATAAACAAAGTATAAAAGAAGAAGAAAAGAGTCATCTTCCACACACCACCTGTGCCAATCCTCTTTCAACTTTCGTCCGTCCCCATACCTCACCTCCACCGGCCGACCACCCTTACGTCCTACCACTTCTGACTAATCGACGACACATCAAAGCTCACCTCCGCTGGGAACTCTGCCTCCACTTGATTCGCCTCTCATCGGAAAGAATTCCTCTCTACATAATCTCTTCGCCGCCTCTCTCGATCTCGTCCTTCAAATCTCTCATTAGAAAAGATCCAGGCAATTCATCAAAAAAAAAAAAGATCCAGGCAGACTATTCTCACGAGGCTGAAGAAGAGCATTTTCCAACTCTTTTAACTTGGTGGCGCCACTAATGGGCTAGGATGTCAAGCCTTAATTGTTTGTGCTGAAACACACTTAGTGCACTGGTTCTCCCACAACCGCCATAGAAGGCAAACAACCTACAAAACCAAATAATCCGCTTCTGGTTCCCGTATCTTGCTTAAGGCAAACCTGATAAAGCCTACCAATGAAAGTTTCTCGCACTTGCAACAATGGTCTTGAAACCCATTAGTGGAATGAAATCTATCCCTCAAACCACCAAATCCTCCCTAGTAGAGAGAATACAATGTAAACATTGCCAAATAAAAAATTGAAGCTTAGGGGGTACCTTCAATTTCTAAACCCATTTCCAGAGAAAACGATCCATTACTAAAGATTGAGACTTAGCTGGAGGTTGACGATAATCATGAAAAGCAATATGATAGGTCGACTTGACTGTGAAAGAACCCGAGGCATCATAATGTCAAATCAGCGAGTCAGATATCTATCGATGTGGAAGTGGGATCCCTCCGATGATGCGGACATAAACTTCGACAAAAAATAACCTCAACATAGCCTCATTCCATAGCTTAGTAATCGGGTCGACAAAGGCTGATACGAAAGGCAAAGCAGAAGGAGCTCCTCTCCGAAGACGTGGCAAGGATGGCAGTGTAGTTAGGAGCCATGGATTAGAAATTGCCAGGATAGACAAAACATTGCCAACTTGCCAATGGGCCCCTTGAAGAAGAATTTCCCTTCCAAAGAGCACACTCTGCCAGCCATAAGAAGAAGATGAAATCAGCGTGGCCTCCAGGGTCGAAGGCCCATTGCTGAAATAACGAGCACGATATAGCCGCTCCAAGAGAGAGGTCGGATCAGATAACAAACGCCAAACCCCTACACTTGTAAAGCTTGGTTGAAATCCCCAAATTCTCTAAACCCAATGCGACCATCATGTTTACTAGCACAAAGAAGCTTCCAAGACCGCTAGTGAATGCGACGTTGTCCTTCTATAGCACCCCCACAAAAAAGGGCCAAGTGGGCATTCAGTCTCCCAATCAACTCTGCCGAAAGTTGTAACAGGACATATTATATATTGGAAG